TTCGTTGACCGGAGGCGGTGCTGCCGCGGGGTACAGATAATGTGGTGGTGCCGGTGGTGTGTGGGGGTGTGTCAAGAAGTTTGGGGGTGTAGGGAGGGATGGGATGGGATGGGATGGGATGGGATGGGATGGGATAGGAATAGATTAAACAAAAATAGGATACGGCTGTAATGTTATGATGAGGGGGATGGAACACTTTACGCCCAACGTTTTGTTTCATTGGTCCACAGAAGACATCGTTGATCAAATGAACTATGCTGTATCGACCCATTACAAAATCAAGGCACGGACATGGGCAAAACACCAGACGAACACATCGTACAACTCTATTTTTATATTGCACACGCCGTACAGGTCGGTCTATCCTACACCTTCTAAGGAGCCGCTCTAGTACACCCATTTCGCCACCGCCCTGGACCCGCCCGTGGTTTTGCGGGCCAGGATCTCCTCGACGACCTCCTTGACGCCCTGCTTCTGGCTCCTCTCCCTCAGGAAGGCGTCGACGATTTGGGGGCGCGACATGGTACCCAGGCTGACCTTCTTCTCGACCTGTGCTTCGGTGGGCACGCCGAACTGGGCGTACGGGTAGTCTTCGTAGTTGGCCTCCGTCAGCAGCTCCAGCTTGGGTTCTTTGCGCGACATGAGGAAGTAGTCTTCGGTCAGCTTGGGGCTCTGCTCCGGGGAGATCTCGGTGAGCGACGCCGGCTTCCAGGTCGCGGGCCGCTTGTCGACGAGCAGCGCAGTGACACCCTCGGTGAAGTCGTGCGAGGCCATGAACTTGGACGCGATCGAGTGCTCGCGGATGAAGGTGTCCCGGATGGACCACTTGACACCGATACGCATCTGCCGCAGCGCCACGTGCACGGCCGTGGGTGAGCGCGCGTGCAGCGTGGTGATGGTCTCCTCGGCCCATTGGCGCGTCGCGCCGGTCTCCCGCTTCAGGGAGCTCAGGATCTGGTCGACACTGTTGTGGCAGAAGCACCGATCGATGGCGCGGCGCAGCTCGCCGCCGAGAAGAATGGGCTCGTCGTGCGGCAGGCCCGTGACGAACTCCTCAATGGTGGCGTTAATGGTGGCTAGACGGGTCTCCATATCTTCCTCGTCATTGAAGCGCAGCTCGGCGAGGCGGGACTCGAGCCGCGGAAGAGAGGTCGAGTGCAGATAGTGGGTAGCAACGCCAGAGTAGAAGACGTTGGCGCCCGTGAGGCGCGAGCTGGTCAGGGCGAGGTAGGTGCCGACGGAGCCGGGCATCCTGGGGAGGAAGAAGGAGCCGCCGACGTCGGGGAAGAAGCCGATGTTCGTCTCGGGCATGGCGAAGACGGTGCGCTCGGTCGCGATGCGGAAGGGGGCGTGGATGCTGAGCCCGACGCCGCCGCCCATGGTGATGCCATCCATGAAGGCGACATAGGGCTTGTTGTAGGTGGCGATCAGGTGGTCCAGCTGGTATTCCTGTGCGAAGTACTCCTTGGATTTCGCCTGGCCCTCGGGCCCGGACTGGTTCCACTCGGCCAGCTGGGCGACGTCGCCGCCGGCACAGAAAGCCTTCTCTCCAGCGCCCTTCATCACGATAACGTTGGCCATGTCCGACTTGGCCCATTCCAGCATGCGCGGGGCGATCTTGCGGATCATGGACCCGTTGAGAGCGTTGTACTTCTTTGGCCTGTTGAGCTCGACGGACCGGAGGCCGTAGAGACTGTTGAAGAGGACATCCTCGGGCTCGTCGTCGTCGCGGGGTTTGAAAAGATCGTAGGCTTGTTGTGTCGACATCTGGAGTAGCAAGCGGTCAGTGGTGAGACGTCCAGATGGGTGATCGGGGGTGGTGGTGCTCAAGGGCATACCAGCCGTTGTGACTGCGGCTGTTGCGACAGCAGCTTGGCTCTGAGAGGCATGGCAAACAGGGTGCTTGTGCGTGTGGAAGGTCGGATGCAGGCCCGGGAGATGGTTGCTGCTATTGTTGTTGCTGGTGCTGCCGGCACCGCTCGGCTGGCAATCGTGTGGGCGAACATTTAATATGACTTGTCCCAGTGTCTGGTGGTGATATATTTCCCCCCCTCGGACAGTGGACCATTGACCTTGAATTCGCACCGAGGCCCAAGACACTTGCTGCCGCCGCCGTCTTTTCCAAAGTCGGCTGCGATTGGCGATTGCAGCTTTTACTGGACCGAAGGTGACCGCGGGCCCGGAGCAGGGGTCCCTGACTGCCAGTGGCAGCTGTGAGTAGCAGCTGTAGCCGGCCGTGAGAGAGGGACAGAACAAACCCACAGCCAATCGGCATTCTCAATTGGCAGGGGCTCGAACAGCACCTCTCTTTCCTCACACAACGAGCAGCGAGCAATCCATGGTTTCAAGGCCAAGTTTAATCTGCCCGAAACGAGTATTTGAGATGACGGTAAAACATATCCGGGTGTCCATATCTCATACTTTTCACCAACAACTACAAGCTTGCGGCTTGCGATGATAACTCACTACCACACCACCCCCCTCCCCCCACCCACTCTGCCCCTCACAGCTTCTCCCACCCTTCATCCACCTTCTTAATCCCCGCCAGACCCAGAAAGAAACTGGCAAGTCCCCATGCACCCGGGTCGGGTACCTGCTCATAACCAGACCCGCCGATGTACACGGTCCGGCCTAGACTAGGCTTCATACCCTTGGTGCCGTCGGCCGCGTTCTGAGCTGCCTCGGCTGACTTCCTGATGTCGCCCGTCTGTTCAAGAACGTCGACGAAGGGGTACAGAGCATCCACTAGGGTGCGGTCTCCCGGCCGAGCTGGCGTGTACTTGGAGAGGGCCTCGCAGCTCTGCCTGAGCGCCACCGCCCAGACCTGGGGAGATGCCGGACCTTCGCCCTGGGATCTCAACGAGGCCAGGAGGGCGTTAAGGAAAATGGCATATAGAGCCCCTGAAGTACCGTCCATCTCCCTTTCCACGATGGGTACAATGCTGGCCAAGTCCACCACAGCGTCTCCCGACAGCGGATGTGACTGTAAATGACTTAGAATGGCTGCATCTGTTGTTAGCAATGGCCACTAACAGAGGAAAGGGGGTGGGTGTCTTCTCACTTACCTTCGGCACCCCTCTTCAACCCAATCCCGCAGTCGCCATCCCCCACCACAGTGTCGTAGCGTGTGACTTCTGGCTCAACCGCCACGACCGCCTCCAATGCCCGACGGAGCGCCTGTTGTGCGGATGCGCCGTCCATCTCCAGGCCACTAGGCTTGATGTCACCTCCCCCTGACTTGTCCTGTTCCCGAGTCGCCGTGTTCTTCTCCTCCCACGTCCGTTTCGAGATGGGGGACGACCAGCCCGTGGCCTCACACGGGTAGTCGAGCAGCTCAATCATGCTGGGCCCGCCAATGTCGGTGTTGACCACGTTCAGCAACGTGATGCTAAAACCCAGCCCGTTGAGGCTGGTCATGAAGGTCCCGCTGAGGATGCGCACCGGCCGGATATTGTAACTCTTCTCGAGCTGCGCCACCACTTCACTCACAATGCCGCCCATCTCCAGCACGCTGACGCCTCCCAGGTTATTCACCAACAGCACCACCTCGTTCGAGTTGACGTTCACAAACGCCCTATCCTCGTCGCTCTGGTCCAGCATCTGCGCCAGCATCTTCCGCACCAGCTCCGGCAGCGCAACCATCTCCTTACTCGAGCCCGGCTCGTTGTGAATCCCCATCCCAATCTCCACCTCCCCATCCCCCAGATACTCAGCCGAGCCGGCATCAGGCTTCGCCCTCCCCGGCACATGGACATGCTCCAGACTCGCCCCAACACTGACCAAATTCCCCGCCACCAGCCGCGCCACCTTGACAACCTCCTCCAACGCCCTGCCCTGCGCAGCCAACGCCCCACTGATCTTATGCACCAGCACCGTGCCGGCAATCCCCCTCCGCCCAACCTTCCCGGCCTTCGCCCTCCCCACCCCAACATCATCCCCCACAACCACCATCTCGACCCGCACCCCCGCCGCCCTCGCCTTCTCCACGCCCACCCCAAAATTGAGCACGTCGCCCGTGTAGTTCATGACCGTGACCAGCACCCCGCCCCCCTCCTCTCTCCCGGAAGAGGAGGAGGAGGAAGAAGAATTCCCTTCCCCCACCCGGCCCATATTTGCCGCACGCACCTTGTGTGTGGCGCGGCTCGCAAAGATGGTGCCCGCGACGGCGGCGCTGAGCAGGCCCGGGCCGACCATCCCCGCGAAGGACGGCTCGTGGCCGGAGCCGCCGCCCGAGATGATGTGGACGCGCTGTTGATGCTGCTGCTGCTGCTGCTGTTGGTGCTGGTGTGGGTGGGGTGGTGGTGGTAGTGTTCCGTACCCTGGTCGGCGGTACACGATTTTGTTGGCGGCGTCGAGGGCGAGGCCCGGGTTGGTGAGGGTGAGGGAGTGCAGGGAGGAGGCGACGAGGTCGGTGGGGGAGGGGAGGAAGTGTTTGCTGGACATGGTGGTGGTTGGTCTTGGTGTTGGGGAGAGGGAAGGGTATAAGTAAGTGAGAGGTCAGGAAGGGGGTTGGGTTAGGTGAGGTGTGGTTCTTGGATCAATGGAATGAAGAAGCGCTCAGACGTGGTTGGCCTTGACTCTGATAATAGTGACTGAAAGTGAGAAGGCCCGTTGTCGATGTATAAAGAAGCGTTACTCTATTCGAGACCTTGCTGGGCGTGTTTAAACGGCACCTGATACCATGAACCGAGCGCTCGGAATACACTAGAATTTAAGTATTTCTCGAGAACTAAACCCGAACAGACAAGCGGACTCAAAACGGTTATGACGGATCAATAGCGCCTCTCGGCAACCACGTTCTCGGGAGAGCTTGCCCGATGTTGAACGGCACTGATACTGATATCGCAGGAAGGTGGGGGTGAGTGCGGGGCGGGTCATGACCCGACTGCTGCAACTTGATTTCCCGTCGTACCAAGCCCAAGTGACCTCACTTTTGACTCCCGATCGTCGCCATGGGGACTGAGCAAGCCAGGCAGGTTTCTGTCCGAGGACTGCTTTCGGGTCTAAGATTAACCGCTGCGGTGGTTGAAAAGAACAAGGGAAGGAATAAAAGGCGGGATAACTGTAATGTCTGAGGAACAGGAAGTCGGCTTTAACCAAATCATAGGGCAGAGAATATGCCTTATTTGTTCTTAATTGTTAGCAACATGGTGTCTTCCATGTGCTCTTAATGATTTCCGTTTGTCCATATCTCATCATCACTTATCCAAATCCAAACCAGCTCTCAAAGCCGCAGATGTGATGGATCCAGCATTCAAACCACAAATACCCAAACGCCAAATAATGCCAAATCCCAAAACGCCTGGGTCATGATCCCATACCACCCAATCCTTCACCCTCCAAAAACCAGCCACCCGGGCTATATCATCACGAACGCAGACCCGGCCACCACCCCCAGCGCCAACGCGGACGTCACAAACCCCGCCGCGACCCGATCCCCCAACGTGATCTCCTTATACCCCAACGGCTCCTCATGCTCCATCGCATTCGGATTCCCCTTCGACGTCCCGCCCGTATCTGCCGTCACGGGCGCCGCCACCCGACCCACCAGCGTGTACATGACCGCCGACAGCGCATTCATCTGCTCGCCCACCCCAACGGACCCATCAAAACGACCCGGCGTGGTCCAGCTAAACCCGCAGGCGGTGCCGGAGTGGCCCTTGAAGGCCGGGGCGGGGGTGTCGCCGATGCAGACGGCGGCGGCGGCGCGGGCGTCGTTCTCCAGCAGCGGGTGGATGGCGTCGAAGGTGTAGGGCGCCATCTGCGTGGTGCCGGCCAGCCACCGCGTCAGGTAGCCCTTGAAACTGCGCTGGTCGTTGTTGCAGAACCCGCTGGGTTCGCACAGCTGCTCGAAGACGACGCCGTCGTCGTTGAAGAAGGTGGCGCGCGCGGATTGCAGCAGGCCGTCCACGCGGGTCTGCCAGATCGACGAGGCGTTGGTGTGGTTGTACATGACCGCCGCGCCGTGCAGGAAGATGCCCGCGTTGTAGGTCCAGCGGTTCGGGTCCATGCTCTCGCAGGTTTTGGTGTCGATGTTGACGTGCACGCCGTCGCGCACCGTGTGGTCTTCTGTGATCAGCCCGACTTTTTCCTCCCATGCGAAGATCTTGTCGGCCCATTCCGCGTACGTCTCGTTACCTGTGTAGCGTGCTAGTCGTGCCGCGATGTTGAAGAAGCAGCCGTTGGATATGGAGTTCTTGTAGTTGAAGCCGTTGTTGAAGGTGAAGATCTGCCACCGGAGTCCGCCGCCGCAGGCCTCCTCGTCCCAGCGGGATGCAAACTGATTGAAAAGGGACTGGGCGAGCGCGAGCCATTGTGGTTGGTCCGGTGGCGGGTCGGGGAGCTTGTTCTCGGCCGCCGACATGGCCGCCATCCCCCAGAACCCCTGGTCGTCGTTGCCGAGTGTGCGTGTCTGGTTCCGGGGCTTGAAGTCGCCGTTCTCGGTCCCTTGGTGGAGGAGGGCCTGGGCGGTGATGGCATTGTACGAGTCGTCTCCGGTTAATGCCCAGTAGTCGATCAGGGTCCCGAACATGGCACCCGCTTCCCACCAGAAATACGGATCGGGCAGGTTGCCTGGTGTATCTCCTGTGTTGTTCCCGGTGTAGTACTTGACTAACCCGAATGCTATTGTGCTGGCGGCGGCTTTGACGGAGGCTAGACATCATGTTAGCTTCTGGGGTTGTTGAAGTTCCCGACAAGGCTGCTACTGCCTTACCTTCATCTTCAAGGACCAGCTCTATCGCTTTTCCTGATCCCACCAGTAGGCCCAGAGAGGCCACAAGCCCAGAAATCCTCATGATTCTAGTGTATCCGTATTTACAACGAGTGACGGAAATGATGTCCAGCCTAGAGCGTAGGGGAGCCAGGCTTGTCCATGGAGCTAACGAAGAACGGCTGACGTCTAACAATAAGACGACAATAAGAGACCGTATTCAAACGAAACCACAATCCCGGGTGGTATGGTCAGATTGTTTTTAATGAAAGAAAGGGCACAGCCTCGATAAAAACAGCGACCAAAGCGCGTTACGAATTGAAGGGCAAGGAAAAGAAAATGAAAAGAAAGTCTAGCAACTGGTTGCCATAGACTGTGATCCAACAATCGGATCCAAAAGGAAGGTAAGGTTGAAGTGAAAACAGGAAAGAAGGTGAGAGGAAGAAGATCTGGACCAAGTGACATGGGAAACTTTCCTAGTCCAGGTAGGGACGCGCACGTCCAAGGAAACGTCCCATCACAGCCCCAAGCCAAGGACTACCTTGAATCTCCCTGGTGTCTTGGTTCCCGGAACTTCCTGGTACCGTAGTGTGGGCGCTCCGGGAGACAAGAGAGGCTGAAACACTTGCAGTTCGAGATGGAGGTGGAACCCCTGGGGACACGAATCACTGCCGACGGGCGGCAGGACGGGTATCATGTTTCTACTGGCTGATGACCTGGGCATTCTGGAAAAATAGTGAAGAAACTTCAGATATACGGGACTTGAATAAGGACCTTCCGTGCACTGAAGCGAAGATCCCTGCTATTCTTGTTGCTGTGGTACGTGTCGTGAGCCAAGCCGGTGGTGGTGTTGATGGAGAGGGAAGTCTGAGACATCCCCCACCCTGAGGGTACCCCTGAACTGCCGTTGGCGCCAAGAGATCTGGACCACTGCTTGGGTTCACCACTGTTCGGAAAGAAATGTAGGAAATAGAAAAGAAATTCAGGTACGAAGCAACAAATAAAAAGGGAGAGGAGGAAATAAAAATAGCGCAAAAATCAAGAGAAATAAGAAAGGAATACTAAAAACGAGTGAGAATCCCCGAGAAAAAAAGACAATAAAGTCTTGACAACCACACCCTAATTCTTAAGCGCCCTTGGCCGTCTAGCTAGGCGGCTCGCTTCACCCAAGGAGCCCATGACACATAGTTTGTTGACAACCTGGAGCTCCCTAAACACGCTGGGAACATCACCTCGAGACTTGGCTGGCGCCTCATACCAGAAGGTATGGGCCAAACGAATCGAACCTGACTCTTCGAGAATCCGAGCTAATTTTCATTCTAAGAGCTCTTGCCTATGCGGCAAAAACAAAGCCATTTTTGTCTATCCATCATTCATAACAAATTCCTGTGTCCAAATCATGAGAGTTTAGGGGGTATCGCAGACCTGATTGTGAAGAGACCTAGCAGTTCCAGCTCAGTGCTTGCAGCCGTGGGCGCAGGCGCCCTTGTGCTTCTTCTGCGGCCTGTCGGCGCCCTTGTCCTCTTCGTCATCCTCGTCCTCATCCTCGTCGTCCGTCTCGAAGTCGAGCTCGCTCAGATTATCTTGCTCCTGGGCTTGGACTGCCACGGGTTAGTGAACCATTCGGTCGAGGGGCCAATGGCGGTAAACTCACTGAAGTACTTGAGAGCGCCGGGCCACAGGTCGTCGGCAATGGCCATAGCAACGGCATCACCCATGGGGAAGATGTCCAAGTCATCCTCGTCATCCTCATCATCATCATCATCGTCGGCCATCTCCTCATCCTCGTCCTTCTTGGGCACCTCCTCACCCGCCTTCCTCTTCCTAGGCCGCTCCTCCTTCTCCTCCTCAATCGCCTCCTTGCTCTCGTCGGCAGAGACGTACTCGCCAATGTAGCCGAACCACGCGAAGAAGCTGACACCGCCCATGCCGGTCTTGTCGATCTTCTCCTTGAGCGCCTTCTGCTTCTCAGTCAGGACGACCTTCTCAGGCTTGCCGGCCTTCTTCTCCTGCTTGGGCTTGGCCAACTGCTCGTCATAAACGGCCTTGACCAGGCTGAGGAGGCCGTCGGTCAGGTCCTTGCCCTTCTTCCACTTGATATCGACGGGCTCGCTGACGAGGCCGACGAAGCCGTCCTTACTCTGACGCCACCAGAACTTCTTCTCCAGCACGGTGTCCTCGAAGTGCTCGTTCTCGGCGAACTCAAAGCGGATGGCGACGCTGCGCGGGTCGCCCTTCTTCTCGTCGGCGTCAAGCTCGAAGCGGCTCACCGAGAGGTTCTTGAGCGAGGTCAGGAGGAGGGCCGAGTCAGACGGCTGAATGTACTCGTCGATGTCCATGGGCGCCTGCTCGAGGACGAGCGCCCAGAAGTTGGGGATCTTGGCGAGCAGCTCAGCGCGGCGGACATAGAGCGGCTTGGAGAGGGTGTACTGCTGGCGGACTTGCGAGATGGCATTAGTGCGCTGTTGTCAATGTTGCGAAATGGCCATTAACTCACTGATCTCGGTCTCGACGTCATCGAACTCTTGCTCGAGGTCCGAAAGCTCCTCGTAGCTAACGGGGGTTTCTTCGAGAGTGGCGGCCCATTTTTGCTGCTGTTTTTGGCTGCTATGGGTCTATCTTAAGGTGGAAAGGGAATGGAGAGAGCTCTGGGACCAGAATGATGGCGATAGCTGAGTGAAATAAGGTGGGATGGCAGAAAAATTCTTCTAGTTGCCCACTGTTTGTAGCGACTAACACGGCGCAGGTCCCGCACTGTTGCGAAATTGTGCAGGCCTTGGCATTCACAAATTGTTCAGTCGGCGGGGTTGGATTAACAGCGGGGCCCTGCCAAGGCGTGGGGTCCAGGGCCGTTTGCATTTTCTGGGGGCCATGAACGGCACCTGAGGTTTGCCGAATTCCGGGCCGAGAACACCCCGGCCTGAATTGATCTAGAACCATTGAATCACAGCTTCTTTCCAATGTCAGGTCTGTTGTGTACCAGTAGAAACTGCCCGATCTGGATCTTGATTCTCGTTCCTCAACGGTTCTCTTGGCGGCGGTGCAGAATTCAGATACCCCGGGATTCAGGTGGATAAAAATCAACCGCTCCAACTCATTTAATTAACTACGAAGTCTTACCTAGTTAGTTACTTATTATTCGTACAACATAAAAATAATTGCTGGGGCGCCAAAACCTTTCCGGCGAAGGTGAGGAAGCTACGCAATTATCGTTCAACTCCTTCATCGTAGCCTTGACCATTCGCCTCCTCGGTCCCATTTTGTCGAAACTCTCCGACCAAGCCTCATATATCCCAATCCGTGACCGACTGTACAATATTTGCCAGCGCAATACTGCAAGGCCCGTCCGTTATCGGGTTTCCGAGACAAGTCCGTCCACGAGGAATCCCCGGTAACCCTGACCGGTCTTCACCGAGTCCACCACCGCCAAACCGCCGCCCATGCCTTATCTCCTTCCACAACGATGCATCGGTGCATTACCGACCCATGACGAAGAAGCCCGAAGTCGGTGCTGATGCCCCTACAGGGAATTTTCACCGCGGCTGCCAACGGCTCCTAAATCCTGGTCCTGTCGGGGCGATCCGCAATTGACTTTCTGTTAGCTAAGAGATCTGGGAATCCGGTGCGCGCGTGACTACCGCCTCTCCAGTAGTTTATTTTCGTCCCGTCATCGGTCTGCAAGGGGTTTGCCATGTTGGATTTGTTTATCTTTTATCTTTGGAAACCTTAAAAGTTGGCATTCCACGCGATCAGAATTTCAAGTCAAGGAATCCCTGGACATAATTCAGATCGAACACCACGATCACTGTGTGGAAGTTGACAAAGAATCTTATGACCTTGTGGCCTACCTTGACATTTTTCAACTATCTCTCAGATAAAACCGGCAGGGGAATTTAAGCTCAGGCAGTCGACAAGTCCGCGATCACTTCAACAATTCTACATCACAGAAACGCTCAACTTTCCACCAAAACCCTCCATCCTCCACCCAATATGGGTGGAACGCTGCTCATGGAGGGGACGAACCCCGATTCTCGCTACCCAGAGTCCCGGGTGCTCATCATCATGACCGGCGGGACGATCTGTATGCAGCCTTCAGCGGACGGTCTGGTTCCCATGACCGGCTTCCTCGAGAATGCCATGGCTCCTCGGCCGTCATTCAACGACAATTCTTCACCTTCAGGTAAGCTCAAAAGATCACGCAAGGGATGCAGCCGTGGTATGGTGTGTGTTTCCAGAATTAGCGACTGCTAAGAGCGGAGAGCTGGTATTCAATACGAACTATGAAAACGGGCGGTTGCCCTCTCGGACTACCAGATACTGACAACGTCTAGTCAAGATTCACGCCTACAAGAATGGCGTCAAGCTGACCCTCGACAGCCTGCGCACCCCCCCGAGCGCATACTCGCGGCACATCCGCTACGGCATCCTCGAGTTCCAGCCGTTGCTCGACTCGAGCTCCATCTCGTCCACGGGCTGGACCGAGATCGCCATGACCATCAAGGAGAACTACCACATCTTCGACGGCTTCGTCGTGCTGCACGGCACCGACTCGCTCGCCTACACGGCGTCGGCCCTCTCCTTCATGATGGCCGACCTCGGCAAGCCCGTCATCCTGACGGGCTCGCAGGCATCTATCTTCGCCCTGCAGTCCGACGCCGTCGACAACCTGCTGGGCTCGCTCATCATCGCTGGTACCTTCGTCATCCCCGAGGTCTGCCTCTTCTTCCACCACACGCTCTTCCGCGGCAACCGCACGACCAAGGTGTCGGCGTCGTCGTTCGAGGCCTTCGATAGCCCCAACTGCTCACCGCTGGCCAAGGTGACGTCGCTGGGGGTGGACGTGAACTGGGCGCTGGTGCGGCGGCCGACCAGCATCGCCAGCTTCCGCGTGACCAAGTACCTGGACACGGCGCACGTGGCCTGCCTGCGCATCTTCCCCGGCATCAAGCCCGAGATGGTGGACTCCGTGCTTAGGGCGCCGAACCTCCGCGGGCTGATCCTTGAGACGTTCGGCATGGGCAACGCCCCCGGCGGCGTGGACGGGAGCCTCACCAAGGTGATTCGTGACGCCGTCGAGCGTGGCATCGTCATCGTCAACGTCAGCCAGTGCACCAACGGGTTTGTATCCCCACTCTACGCCCCCGCCACCGCGCTCGGTCGCGCCGGCGTCGTTTTTGGCCACGACCTGACCACCGAGGCGGCACTAACCAAGCTTTCTTACCTGCTCGCCCTGCCCGAATGGAAATACAGCGAGGTGACGGCCAAGATGGCGCAGTCGATGCGCGGGGAGATGACCGAGATGGCGCTGACGTCCTTCTCGCACCCCGCGGGGAGCATCGATTCTGTCGTCGACAGACTCATCTCGGGCCGGTATGATCCCTTCTCTTCTTTGTCCACCTGTTTGCCTCCTCCCCTCGGCCTCCGCTGTGACAAA